GATTTTCAGTTGGTGGATAAAGCGATTAACGAGGGGATCATCTGAATTGGGATTTAGTTTATGCTCGTCGAGAATGCATGAATATGATGTGTAGCTCATTTAGCCTTTCTCATATTTTTTGGGCGCAAAATATGGTCGCAGATCGTCTTGCACATTTTGCACATGAGCATATGCAACATCGGGAGTTCTACATTCGACATGCCTGGCGACGGGCTTTGGAGAATGATGCTAGAGGTAGGTGGTATATTCGGAAGTAAGATTCCCAGTATCTGGGGTTTCGACCTGGCTGCAGCTAATTTTATATGTTTAGTCTAGGTATTTTAATATTTGCAGTTTTAACCCTTTTTTTGGGCCTTTTTGTAATAGTTTGTATGAGGGTTTTCTTTCTCCCGTTTTATTCGTGCCTCCCTAGGGGTACTCTTTTCCTTGTGTAGGCCCGCAAGGTTTCCACTGAGGCCATTTTATACTTTCATAAGTATTTATATATATATATATATATATATAATATATATATATATATATATATATATATATATATATATATATATATATATATATATATATATATATATATATATATATATATATATATATATATATATATATATATATATATATATATATATATATATATATATATATATATATATATATATATATATATATATATATATATATATATATATATTAAAGCGGGATAAGGAACCATTCGATTTACATAAGTACGGTCAATATATCATTATTTTGACTGTGATTGATAGTAAAGATGCACCAGTTCAGTGGCCGATGAATACGGCGGTTAGTCATGTTCATGAGATTAGACATCAGTTTTTCCACGAACGTTGACAATATTTGACGTGTAAAAGGGCCTATAAAGGACGAGGAAATAATATTTTGATGTCAAAACAATCCGAAAGTTTGGTACAATGAAGTGCATGTGTCCCTTTGCGTTATGGGGTAAAGAGGGTCGTGATGGATTATGGCGCCTTACCATACAAAATGACAATCATAATCGGGGATAATTACACTTTTGGTCCCTCATGTTTGGCCCGATTTCACTTTTGGTCCCCCTTGTTTCAAAGTGAACAAAGTTCACCTCCAAGTTTCAATTTTGAACACTTTTGGTCCCCGCCGTTACATGTCCGTTAGCAAGTAACGGAAAACACTATTTTGGGGCGAAAATTAAATTTTTAAATTTTTTTGGGGCTGAAAAATAATTAGAAATTTAAAATAGACTACTTATAATTAAAATTTTAATAATATTAAGTATAATGAAATTGATTTAGTTAATTTCTTTTTTTATTATTAAAAAATAATCATAAGTAGTATAATGAAAACTAATATTAAGTATAATGCACAATAATGTATTTAGTTAATTTCTTTTTTATTATTAAAAATTTAATTATAAGTAGTATAATTATAATAATATTAAGTATAATTATACATGACTTGTTCAGCTAATTTTTTTTTATTATTCTTTTATTATAAGTAGTATAATTAAAAATACTATTAAGTATAATTAAAAATAACATGTTAAGTTAATTTATTTTTTATTATTAAAACATTAATTATAAGTAGTACAAATATAATAATATTAAGTATTATTAAAAATAATTTGTTGAGTTAATTTATTTTTTTGTTATTATTTTTTTTTATCATAAGTAGTATAATTAAAAACAATATTAAGTATGATTAAAATAATTTATTTAATTAATTTTTTTTGTTATTAAAAAATTAATTATAATAATATTAAGTATATTAAAAAATAATTTGTTTCGTTGATTTTTTTTATTATTAAAATTATAAATAGTCTAATTTAAATTTATAATTATTTTCAGCCCCAAAAGATTTTAAAATTTCAATTTTCACCCCAAAATAGTGTTTTCCGTTACTTGCTAACGGATATGTAACGGCGGGGACCAAAAATGTTTAAAATTGAAACTTGGAGGTGAACTTTGTTCACTTTGGAACAAGGGGGACCAAAAGTGAAATCGGGCCAAACATGAGGGATCAAAAGTGTAATTATCCCATCATAATCGTCGCCTGCATAAATATCAACAAAGAATACGTTCGGTCAATTGTTTGATGCAAGAGCAAAGTGAAGTGACAAAGTTACTAAAGAGAAGTCATGTTAATCCGAAGAAAATTTTGCATCATTTTAGAGAGACTTTATATATTATCCGGATACGTCTGCAACCTTGAGGGATGAGTAAAATGAATCTGCAAAAATAAGACGAGAGGAAATGAAAGGAAAGACAGTTGTACAATATTTGTGGCACAAACTCAGTGAAAGTGGATGTACAAAATGGCATCGAACTAACTCAGTTGGCGATACAGTGCAAGACATCATGTTCGCTCACCCCAATTATTCGATCAACCTTTTGCATTTTATTTCCGTATGTTATACTGATGGATTGCACTTACAAGACAAATAGGTAATATTTATTTAAATGTGAATCTGATTTATTATGTTTTATTTCATAGTTGATAAAACCATAATTACCTATATGTATGTATGAAATGCTTCTATTAGAAATCATTGGGGCCACTCTGGTGGGGAAAGAACTTCACTATTTATGCATGGGCTTAAAGATGTCTGCGAGATACATTACCACCCGGAGTAGAACCGGATGCGATCCTGACAGATCGAGAATTGGGTCTACTGAAAGCTTTGCCGAACGTGTTTCCGTATTTGATATTTGTAATAATACGAGGGGGTAAAAAGCATAAAAGGCCCATGTGTTAAGGAAAACCTGAGCCAGATCCCCATGTTTTTTTCTTGCGTGAAACCTCCTTTTGTTTCACTTTACTTTACACGAAATCCTCTTTCCTTTAAAAGTTAACACCGTTAACTATAGAGGGGATTTTATGCAAAAAAAATTAGGGTCCATTTGATATACACCTCTCAAATGAAAAAATATATAGGAATAGGTCTACCCCTAAAAATATTTCTTTGAGATACCGCCCTGGAGAGACAAAAGTACTATTGTGCCCTTATTTGCAATTTTCGCCCAACTGGATTCAGCATTTTCATTAACTGCATTTAACATTATGGCCAACTGTATTTAGCATTTTGGACCTGCATTTATCATTATTACAGATTTTTTTAATAAAAAATTATAAATGTTTATTTTATTATTATTTTATTTTATTTTTAATTTTTAATTTTTTTTTTTTTTTTTTTTAATTTTTTTAATTTTTTTAATTTTTTAATTTTTTTTTTTAATTTTTTAATTTTTTTTAATTTAAAAAATAATAAAAAAAATTTAAATTTATTTTAGTTTTTTTTTTAAATAATTTCTAATAAGTTTCCTGTACAGAAAGTGACTATATATGACTATAGTAGAGTACATGTTTTATAGTCACGTATAGACCTGACCACCGGTTCGGTTCTAACCGGAACCGGAACCGGAACCGAACCGGGGTCAATGGTTTTGGAACCGAACCGGAACCGGTTTGACCAGAACCGGAACCGGAACCGTAAAAACCGGTTCGGTTCCGGTTCTTCATTTTTGGAACCGAGAACCGACGGTTAGAACACCGCGGTTCTAACCGTTGGAACCGTTTTAAAAAAAAAAAAATTCAAATAATAAAATATTAATAAAAGGTCAGCTTTATTAAAACAATAAATAAAAAATCCTACCCAATTGTTCACTCCAGTCCAAAGTAACCCAAAGTAACGGTCAGTTTAAAAAAAATAAATTATATTAATATCCAATGGCAATTTGTAAGGGTCAGATTAATTAATTAAAAAAATGAAATGCACCTGGTTTTAAAGTTTTTTAAAGGAGAAAAATATTTTTGAAGTATTAACAAAAATATTGTTGATGTACTGTAAGAAAAACATAACTTTTTTTAAGTCTTTGAAGTATTTTTTTTTTGTTTTTAAAAACTATTTTTTAAGTCTTTCTTAAGTAAATATAATATATATTAAAAATAAAAATTGAAGAGCACTGTAAGTCTGTAAGTAACAGAAAGAGTTGTGTATAGTTTCTCAAGTAATTTTAAATAATTTTAGAGAGTTTGTGTATACATTTTATATTTTAATATAAGTATAATTATTCTTAAGTAATTTTAAAATAAAAAAAAAATTAAAAAAAAAAAAAAAAAAAAAAGTTATATCAGAACCGGACGGTTCTACGGTTCTAACCGGGAACCGAACCGGAACCGGTTGGGAACCGAACCGCTTGGAACCGGATTTTTTCGGTTCGGTTCCGGTTCCTCCAAAACCGGAACCGGAACCGGCGGTTTGGAACCGGAACCGGAACCGAACCGAACCGTGGTCAGGTCTATATATTCATATGTACCTTCTTTCTACTCCAAAGTTATATATAGTCATTTACCTTCTTTTTACCCCAAAATTATATATAGTCATGTGTAGCTATATATATTCAACTGATTATGTAGACCGCTAATTATATACCAAAAAGAACTTCATCGACACCAACAACAAAAATCACAATTTAAATCTTGATATTATAAATCAATTTGTACAAATATAGTTCGAAAACACAATCACATGCATATATTTTCAACAAAGAACAAATCATCATCATCAATAAGTACCAAACAAAAAATTGAAAAAACACAATTATCAACATCACTATACGTCAGAAAAAATAAATAGTTACATATAACTATATATTACTACATTTTATTCCATATGACTATATATGACTATACGTATATGATCACATGTGCCTATATATTACTGTATGTATATGACCACATGTGACTATATAAGACTATATGAATATGACCACATGTGACTATATATGACTATATGTATATGACCACATGTGACTACATGAGTATAGTCATATATAGTGTAGTTTGTAGTCTATAGTTTCAAATACCACTTTGCTCTAGAACAACAATTCCGATTTATCAATTGCAAAAAAAAATTTGAATTGACGAACACCATGTCCTCTCGACAAAAACTTAGTGAATAGAAGTTGTTCAAACACCGAGACCTGTGACAAAAAAAAAAAACACCATTGTTAAAGCAAATTAAAGAACCCATTGGTTCAAGAAGCAAATCAGATAAGAAAATCCATATTTAAAAAAAGTAATAGTAAAATAAATAAATAAATAAACATAAGAAAATAGATCTGGGGCTTGGTGTGATTAGAACATGTTCAGTAGCTTTCTTGAGCCATTCCATCTCATAAGTATCGAGAAACGGAGCCAAAATTCCTCTGCATCTGTAATGGTACTTATTCAGCCATTCCACTTCTTCAGGCACAGGGAGGCTGAAAATTCATCAATTTCGTCTGATACAGTGCATGAATTTCCAAAACATTAAAATAAATTAAATATTTAGAACGCATAAAAAATGAAGGCATGGCAAAAACAGGGATGAAACTTGTTACAACTATCAAGTGATAAATCACATTTAACAACAAATATATATTAACAGATACCCTCTAAGAGCATCTCCAATGGAGAGGGGGGGTTTCCCCCTCCCCTCCCTCTCCCCCTCCCCCGACATTTACCTACGTCGTTTCCAACCGATCGATCTTTTATTGTTTTTTTTGAAACCCCCACTCTCATCTAATAATAATAATAATAATAATAATAATAATAATAATAATAATAATAATTATAATAATTATAATAATAATAATAATAATAATAATATTATTATTATTAAAAACTAATAATTAATAATAATTATTACTAATTAAAAAATATAGAATTAATAATTCAAAAGATATAATCAAAATGGAAATAATAAAATAAAAGAAAAAGAAATGAAAACAAAAATATTAAAAGTCTTTATTTACAAATTTAGTGTTTGATTTTATTGAAATTATGTGATATTAAATTATGTAACTAAATAATTGAAATAAAATAAAATAACGATATAATTTAAAAAATAAATACAAAAGAAAAGGAAAATAAAAAAATATAAAATTAACAAACAAAAAAGGGAAAAGAAAAAGGAAAAGAAAAAAAAAAAAAAAAAAAAAAAAAGAAGAAAAGAGCGTGGAACACACGCCCCCTTCCAGCACGTGAGTTGGAAGGGGGCAGCTCAAGGGTTCTCTCCCTCCCCCCTCTCCCCACCCCTACCCACCCCAGACCCACACCCCCTTGACCCACCTCCATTGGAGGTAATTTTATCCTCCTACCCCAACCCCTACCCATCTCCATTGGAGATGGTCTAAAAGGAGACAGCAACCCAACATAGACCAACAGAGAAAAATACAATAATTGAAAAAGCAACAACAACGAAACTCCTTACGAGAGAGAGATGAAAATCGCCAAACTTCGACAAAAATCTCGTCCGACGATTTGACGGCGGTGAGGGCGTCAATACAGTGGATCTCATCCGACGATTTGACGGCGGCGATGACAGTGGCGGAAGAAGAGGGGAACAAAGCGGCGGTTCGCCTAAGGAGAGAGAAAACATCGAGAAAGAGAAGACTAGGGTTTGCACCGGAGTGGAGAGAGAATGCATACATTGATACAAACGTGGTGATTAAAAAACATATTCTATAAGGGTAAAACAGGTATTTTAATTTGTCTAGGGGTCTATCAAATTAAGATTAGAACTTGGGTTTTTGACTATGAAAGAAAAATCTATATGACCTATCCCTATATATTTTCAAAACTAGGGGGTTATCCCACATTTTCCCAAAAACTTATAACATAGAGAGATTTAGTGCATATTTTCTACAATACAAGGCGATTTTATGCAAAATTAATTCATTCATTTAAATTTCATATTATTCCTTAAATTAAGTCGATCACATTTATTCAGTTCCAATATGAAAAATAGAAATTTAATAGTTGTGGTGAATGTTTAAAAAAAATCAAATTTATATGATTAACTTATTAATGTATTTAAAATTTTTGATATTTTGAAAATATATAATTATTTTTTGGGGTCTTTACAAATAAGCCCATCAATGGGTACTTATTTATAAATGATCTAGACAAAAAACTCATTTACCAATAAGTCCACACATGGTCCACATTTTTGTAAAGGACTAAAATAACCCCTCATACTTTAATATGCTTCAATTTCACCCTTAACTTTATTTAACCTCAATTTGACCCCAAATTTCACAAATTATTCAATTTTGACCCAAAACTTTTTTTTTTTTTATTTTTTTTCCCGTCGGATTCCGGCGTTGACTTTTCATTTTTTTTTTCGCCGGTTTCCGGCGTTGACTTTTTCGATTTTTTTTCTTCTTTTATTTCTTTCTGTAACCTTTTTTTCCGTTTAAACAACAATATTGCTGTGATTGACAGTAAAATTAAACTAAACTACAGTTTAACACAATAAAATTAAACTAAACTACAGTTTAACATAGTAATATTGCTATATTAATCTCTAGCACAGTAATATTAACACAACAAAACTCATTATTATTGTATAATAGAGTAATATTATTATGTTGACCGTTCAACAAATGTAAACATAATAAAAAACCAAAAAAAATAATATTACTGTCAGTGACAGTAATATTACTATAACAACAGTAATATTAACGTCAACCATAGTAATATTACAATAATAGACAGTAATATTGTTACGTTACTCCATAAATAACACAAACAAACAAAATAATAATATTGATGTGGTTGACAACAATATTACTATAACAACAGTAATATTACCGTCAACCACAGTAATATTATTGTGTTTACAGTAATATTATAATAATAAACAGTAATATTATTATGTTACTCCATGAATAACTCAAACAAAACAAAAAACCCAATTAAATAATAATATTGATGTTGTTGACAGTAATATTATTGTGTTTACAGTTATTTTACTGTCAACGACAGTAATATAATTACGTTGACTTGTCAACAAATCAAACAAAATAAAAAAAAACAACAAAAAATAAAAAATAATAATATTACATTAATTTACTGTCAACGGCAGCACAATTACATAAATGTATTGTCAACGGCAGTACAATTGCGTTAATTAACTGTCATTGACAATATAATTACGTTAATTTACTGTCAGTGACAGCACAATTACGGTCAACGTTTAGCGGCGGACGTAAAAAGAAAAAACAAACCAAACAAAAAAAAAAAAAAACCTTAAAAAAACACTAAAAAAAGTCAACGCCGGAGACCGCCGGAAACCGGCGAAAAAATCCGAAATTTTTTTTTTATTGAAAAGTCAACGCCGGAATCCGGCGGCAAAAAATATTTTTGAAAAAAAAAAAGTTTTGGGTCAAAATTGAATAATTTGTGAAATTTGGGGTCAAATTGAGATTAAATTAAGTTAAGGATGAAATTGGAGCATATTAAAGTATGCTCCAAAAAAAAGTAAAAATTGAAATTTTGTTGTCAAAATTGGATTTTTGTGGACAAAATTGATTAAATTGGGGTTACAATTAAGAATTGGGTATAAATGGTTGAGGGTAATTTTGGCATATACATGAATGTTTCCTTTATTTATAATAAATATTAAAGAGATGGGCTTATTGGTGAAAGAGATATAGCCTTTAAACCTACAATAATAAACATGTTTGGTTGGGGACTTATTCACAAAAACCCCTTATTTTATTAGAATGATTATATATTTTTATTTATTCTGGGTTAATTATATGTGAAAAGAACATAAATAATTTCTGAATTCGTTCCAACTTCGGTCTCGAATATTAAAATTTTAATTTGCATAGTTTAAATTAATAGATGTATTCGACTTAATTTAAGAAAATAATTTGAATTTTAATTGAATAAATTAATTTTGCGTAAAACCCCCTTTTGTTGCGAAACCATGCACCAAATCCCCCTATATTGTAAAAAACTTGCATAAAATTCCATCTACAGTTAACAATGTTAACTATTAACGGAAATAGAGATTTCATGCAAGAAAAAATGAAACACGGAGGTATTACACAAGAAAAAAGATACAGAAGGGTTTGACATAAGTTTTCCTTAACACATGGGGGTTTTCTGATGTTTACCCTCATACGAGGCCTCTAAAATCTGGACTTAAATTTGCAGCATTCAAAATTAAATAATAAAACTAAATCAAAGCATGCTCTAAAATAAATAAATAATTACAACAACAAAAACAAAAACAAAAACAATTGATATGTATTACATTGCCCCTCTCAGTTACTAAACTATTGGAGAAGGAGATACGTCGTCGCTCGTAATCCCATAAAAAACCTTTCGACAATCGAAAATAGCAGAAATAATGAGAATAGTTGTAATTGTTACAAGACAAATACTGAAGATGAACCCCATCATTATATCTGTTACATTGTATTGGTGCCGCGACGAGTGGATCATTAACGCTTCTCTCACAAACTTCACAATACCGTATACAATGAAACCGCACAAAACTGCCAGAAATAATTTCCACGTCGCCATTCTTCCATGCTTCCATGCTTTGTCATACCTCTCATCCTTCTCCACATTCGCTATAAATTCTGTTAAAAGAAAAGGAGAGAGAAAACTATATATATATATATATATATATGTTAAAGATTAGTTGTCGAAAATTTCGAAAGAGTGCATATATACCCGGACTGGTCTAATTGCATGATTATTCATGAGTGTATAAACTGGCCTGTTTTTAAATCAATTTTGTTTGCATTCTTGCAGTTATATATAGAAAATAAATATTTGATTTTGACGAAAATCATGCAATTAATTCATTTATATAAGTTTGATGAATTAGTTTTCATGAAATCAGTGCAAAAAAAATACATTCGATTAGATTTAGAAGCAAATAGGGTCTTATATATTGTAGACTATTAATTATATACCTTTTCCGTAACATTGCAGTCTATGTTTTTGGCATGTCTAAATTTAATGGATAAAATTTACATGTGGCAAATAATTAATGTCCGGAACCAATCATCATTAGACGAGTTGGTAACTAGCCTTAACAATAGGGTACATGTGTATGGTTCGAGTACCCCCTCCCCTATTTCCC